AGATTGCTGTCTACCTCAGGGTGTGGATTTCACGCAGAGCCCCTAATAACAGCTCTTGTCTTCCCTTACATGCCCCGATGTCAATAGAGCTGCTTTTCCCTTCATGCCTGCAGATATTCTTTGGAAACGTGGATGGAGTGAGCGTGAAAGACAATGCCTTCGACCCGCCCATTGTAGCCCGTTATCTCCGACTCCACCCCACGCACTTCAACTTTCGCAACACTTTGAGGATGGAGCTGCTAGGCTGTGACCTGAACAGTATGGAACGAGACCTTTCTTCCTTCTTCCATTCATAGGACGGTGGGATTGTTGAGGCAGTGGGATCTCTGAGACTAACAGGATGCACCTAGATCAGTGGTGGCGAACACTAGCAAGCAGTGACTGATTTCATCTTTTTTTTTTAGGGATCATCATGAAATTTTATTCAGTGGGGTTCAAACCCTCTACTGCAGACATGTCAAACATATGGCCCGCGAAGTGGTTTCATGTGGCCCGTGAAGCCATCCTGGAAACAGTGAGGGAACAGCCCCCGCTGCCTTGGCCCTGGCCCAGGCCGGCCGGGAGCCAATGTACAATTTTGTGGTGGCCATCTATGCTGAAACACATTCAGTCTTAGCTCCACAAGGCTGTCCAGAAACAGCGAGGAACCAGCCCCTGCTGCATTGGCCCCGCCCCCTGGGTGCATGTTGGGGAGGTGTCACCCTTTGTGAGGAATGAAGAAATGCACCATGCCTTGGCGCTTGCCCCGGTCCCACCCCCTTCTGCCAGAGACCCTCAGATCTGTCCCACTCCTGCCCAGGCCCCCACAGGCACCCTTGATGCAAACAATGTAGAGCTGGCCATGCCCACCCACTAGGCCACACCCACTCCATCCATGCCCACCCAGTAGGCTGCACTCACCCTGGCCACACACACACACACACCCGAGGGCAACCACAATGCTGATGCGGCCCTCAATGAAATTGAGTTTGACACCCCTGCTCTACTGGGAACTGAACTGAATCCATGAATCACTGCACTTTAAATGACTCTATATTCTGTATCAGCTTTTCTCTGCCCCCAAGAAGTAATCAGTTCAGCCCCAGGCAAGCTTGTTTGGAAAAAAAAAAGTCCCAAAGATGGAGTGTTAGTCAGGGGTACTAGATCCAGCTTGGTGCGAACAAAGAGACAGAGTCCAGTTCTCTCTGAGTCACATGTTTGTTCAGATCTGGACAAAGGTGGGTCTTCCCATAGGGCTGGGGAAAACCCTGAATGATTGATTTAACATGCTTTTATGCTGCACTTGGTTACATAAACAGGAAACCCAATGTCTGTATGACAGTAAAGAAGTTACTAAAATATCCGTGCCCCACATCCTATAGCAATAAGTATTTTGAGCAAGCTTTATTTTAAGAACCTTTGGGGGTTTCTCTATCATCCTTCCCCACACACAGGACCTGTCCCTTTTATGTCAGCCATTTCAATGTAAGAATCTTGATCATCTCAATACTGATCAACAGGACCTCCACTAAAAAAAATCCTGTTTATGGTGCCAAAAAGTCCCTTTCTGGTGGGGGCATTATCTGAAGGATCAACAGGTCCTCCTTGCAGGCATGTTGCCCATCAAATCACTATCAACCAGGGCTTGTTCCCAGGATGAAGGCAGCGAGGGTTTGGATCCAAAGCAGTTGGTATACAATGTATACAGCTTCATCAAGGAATAAAGATCTGGCACAAGGGATAGAGGTAGAGAAAAGAGGCTACTGAAGCTAAATGGACAAGAGTGCCCCTTTGATCTTCAGCCATTCTAATAATTATGGATTGAGGATGGCTTCATATTTCTATACTCTTAACCATCCCCAAGTATAGAAGAGTCTTTTCCCTGGCCCGTTTCAATGTCTTGCCCTCAGCACTACTCGACCGGCGATTCAAGAGGCTCCTGTTTAGTGAGCGACTATGCCCCTGTGATAGGGCCAAAGTTGAAACTGTGGAGCATGTCTTATCATACTGCCCTATGTATAACACAGGCAGAATTAAATTACTGTCTCTCCTTGGAATTGATCCCTCTGGTCCTAATGTTAGTAATTTGGTCTTATATTGTTTAGGGGATGGCTCCTCCTATATTACTTCTCAGGTTTCTAAATTTCTTTTAAGAGCTGTAAGTATTAGAGGAGAACGCTGTAATTCCCTTTAGCCAAGGCTTCTGGTGTTTAATTGTTTGTGATCATATTTTTCTTGTGTTTTCTTTTGTTGCACTTGCATTTTGGTCTGTGACCGCAAAATAAAAATAATAAAATAATAATAATAATAATAATAATAATAATAATAATAATAATAATAATAATAATAATAATAATAATAATTATTATTATTATTATTATTATTATTATTATTATTATTGACAAGAGTGGACAATCATTTGACCGGGATGATATATAATGTCTCCTGCCTTAATCAAGTCTTGGACTAGAAGACCTCTAAGGTCCCTTCCAGCGCTATGATTTTATGTTCTAAATCAGGATTACTAAGTTTGTCTATTTTCTTTCCCTTTAGGCTGCTCCATGCCACTAGGAATAGAGAGCAACTCCATTTCTAATGAACAGATTACTGCCTCCTCTTGGGTTGACAATGCATTCGCTACTTGGTCTCCCTTTTTGGCCCGGCTCAATTTGAAAGGAAGAATAAATGCATGGAGACCAACGGTAAATCGGATGTCTATAACCGTGTTTTCCAAATGTGGCAGCTTTAAGATGGGTGGACTTCAATTCCCAGAATTCAATTCCCTTCTCTAAGCCCTCCTTCCCAAACCCTGTAGTTTCTCATTTGTATGCACTGTGTCTTCCTTTATTTTGGCTCCTTCCGTTCCAGCTGCAATGATGGCTTTGCATTTTCCACAGTTCTGCCCAACTAATTTGTACAGTCCCCTCTTGCCTATCTTTAAATGGGTCTTAAAAAGATGGCTCTCCTCTCCCAGGTCTTGGATAAATATCCCGTTGGGCCTTTTTCATGGGATGGGGCAACCATTTTGGGTGATTTGCTGCCTCCAGGTGTCCATTGCTCTTTTTATTTAATACAGGTCGTCCTCGACGTTCAACCACAAATTGGGCCCAACATTTCTGTTGCTAATCAAGACATTTGTTGAGTTTTGTCCCATTTTACAATCTTTTTTTGCCACAATTATTAAGTTGAATCATTGCAGTTGTTAAGTTAGCAAGGTTGTTAATCTGGCTTACCCCTTGACCTTGCTTGTCAGAAGGTCACAAAAGTGGATCACATGACACTGCAACCATCATAAATATGAACCAGTTGCCAGGCATCCGAATTTTGATGCGGCAATGGTTGTAAGTGTGAAAAACGGTCAGAAGTCACTTTTTTCACTGCTGTTGTAACTGTGAACGGCCTCTAAATGAACTTTGGTAAGTCAAGGATTACCTGCATTCTTTCAACATCATCTGTGATCAATAAAAGAAACTAGGAAGTCTGAAATTTGGTTTTCCAAGGATGGAGCGACTGTAATTTCCGTCTCTTCCCCAGGTTGACAGCACAGCGGAGTGGCTTCAAGTGAATTTTAAGAAGACGTTGCGGGTGACGGGACTAATAACTCAAGGTGCCAAGTCTGTCTTCACCCATATGTTTGTAAAGGAGTTTACTCTTTCCAGCAGCATGGATGGAAAAAACTGGACACCCGTTCTTCAACATGGGGAGAAACAGGTCGGTACCATGTCTGCGTAATTCATTCTTTCTTTATCAGTGAAAAGGCCTGAGAAAAGCGACAGTTACGATCCTCTCATTTTTCAGGTTTTCCAGGGAAATCACGATTATTTCCAGCCCGTGATGAACTTTCTGGATGTCCCATTCTTTGCCAAATACCTGAGGATACACCCACTCGTGTGGAACAAACACATTGCGCTGAGGATGGAGGTGTTGGGCTGTGACACAGAGCAGATGGACTAGTCAAGATGAAGCCCTCTTTGGCTTTTCCTGCAAACGCTCCAACAAGGAGGGTCTTCCCCTGCACAGCCCACCCCAACAACACATTTATCATCACAAAATAAACTTCAGTGACTTTCCTGTTTTTGAGAACGGTGTTAAGGAACGACGTGAAGTCTCTGCAAAATGTTGCAATAGTATAACACTTGGCATTTGTGGACTGCGGGTTTCGTTAGGATCGCATTTGGGAATTTATGAACGGCAATATATCTTCTCTTGCCCAGTTTGTGTCGGACTTCTTAGAGCCAGGATAAATTAGCTGCATGAATTCCTATGATCGGCTTTACATTTTCAGCTGGTGGGAGGGAGGATTTGAAACGTGCACTTTCTCCCCCATCACTGTTCTTGTGATGGTTCAATCAGTGGAGGTTTTTAAGAAGAAACTGGACGGCCACTTGTCTCAGATCAGGTAGGGTTGCCTGCTTGAGCAGGGGGTTGGACTAGAAGACCTCCAAGGTCCCTTCCAGCTCTATTCTGATTGATGGATGGTCTTCTGAAAGATTCCACTGATATCAAAAAAAAAGAGGAAAGCACCGTCAGCAACATCTTCTACTGATTAAGGAAAGAGGAGGGATTTTTTTTTTTCCTTTTGGGGAAAAAAAGAGATCCTAATTATTTGCTAGCCTCCAACATTTTGAGGAAGCTACAGAGAGCCCCTGAAAGCCTGATTAACCTGTATGAGGCCAAAGCTTCTAGTCAACATGTCTCAAAGTGAACCATAGACGTATCATTTTCTAGAACCAGCCTTGCTTTGATATTGGACTAATAATAATAATAATAATAAAGTTGGAGACCTTGGAGATCATCTAGTCCAACCCCCTGCTCAGGCAGGAAACGCTATATCATTTCGGACAAATGGCTGTCCAGTTTCTTCTTAAAAACTTCCAGTGTTGGAGCATTCACCGCTTCTGGAGGCAGGTTGTTCCACTGGTTAATTGTTCTGTCAGGAAGTTTCTCCTTAGTTCTAGGCTGCTTCTCTCCTTGATTAGTTTCCATCCGTTGCTTCTTGTCCTACCTTCAGGCGCTTTGGAGAATAGCTTGACTCCCTCTTCTTTGTGGCAGCCCCTGAGATATTGGAACACTGCTATCATGTCCCCCCTCGTCCTTCTCTTCGTTAAACTGGACATCCCCAATTCCAGCAGCCGTTCCTTATATGTTTTAGCCTCCAGTCCCCTAATCATCTTTGTTGCTCTTCTCTGTACTCTTTCTAGAGTCTCAGCATCTTTTTTACATCGTGGTGACCAAAACTGGATGCAGTATTCCAAGTGTGGCCTTACCAAGGCCTTGTAAAGTGGTATTAATACTTCACGTGATCTTGATTCTATCC